AAACAACCGTATTTAAGAAACAACATCATTTAAAGGTTAATAACCCATTTCCCAAAATATTTCTCATTTAACTTCCATTTTTAATGTTCCTCTTTTCCTTTCATTCTACTCTTTTACTCTTCATTTTTAACTTAAAACCCCATAACTTCAAGTTCAAGTTCCTTTTTGATTTGCCAATAATTCTCCTATGCTCAATTCACCTCGTTAATTACATCCGCAAAGTTTCATTTCAAGATAACACAATGTTAATAAACCCTTCCAAGCCAATCCTTTATTTAATTAAGAAACAACTCTCACAATTTACTTTTATTAACACAACTACTTCGTTAAGTTTATCATCATAATCTATAATCCTCATATCTATTTTTCTAGTTCCCATTATTTACAAATAATGCCCATGCACATTTCCTCTTAAAACCAAATTATACATCAATATGAAATTTCACAAATTCATCACAAGCAACAAAAAAAAACATCATCAACTCAACTTACCTCTCAACACATAGCTCAACACAACCCACCTTTTGCCGGCTTACTACGGTGGGATGTGGACTCCCAAAAACCATTTTCGAAAACCAACCATTCTTTTAAAATAAATTTCCAAGTTCTGTAGAGTATTCTCACAAAGTATGTACATAGTTATGTTTTTTCCTTAACACAAAAGTAAATGTAAATGCAATGCTATGCCAAGATAAATCAATGAGGAAAAACATCCGTTCCAATGCATTGTTTCAAAATCACCATGTTCTTAATGTCATCATATGATCTCATCAATTTCAAACTTCCATCATTACTTTAAAAGGGGCGGTAAATACGACACCGGTAATCCCTAGGCTGGTGTCTGCAAGTAGGCTCAACAAGCACTACCAAACTGTCATTTTTACCAGTGCTAACCGGAAGGCTCGACACCTATCCGTGCGGCTTTTAGGTCTTTCACCCTGGACACTCAAGGCCAACTTAATAAAATCAACTACACCCCATCTCCGGACTTACCACGTATTTACCCCATTTACATTTCCATAATTCTCATTACAACCTTATCCTTTTCAAAGTAAGCATTTTCCCATTTATTTCAATATATGCAATAGTATTAATGAATCAAATAAGAACATGATGCAATACATAATATCTCATAACATTTTCTCCATTTCCAATGTTTCCACAATAATGTCAACCTCCACAACTTCCATTACCCCTCTTCACTGTTCTTTTACGAGATCACCAAAAAGAAACCATTAATACATAGCTACAATCATTATCCATAGTGCACAACAATGGTCATCCCACAACTACATATCATCATTTATTCAACAATAATTTTTAAAACAACACACCCATTTCAATATATCAAAACTTCCCATATTTTCCAAAAATTCCCAATCTCTAGGGTTTTCATCAAAGAAAGCCCCACCTTTCCCATTTCATGGCACACCCACCCAAATCATATTCTTTGAGTTAAATAACGTGGAAACCCATTAGTGTTAGCAAAATGGTTGAGATTTAAATCCCTATTTTCGAGAACACCCTCTCTCTTTTTCTTTTTTTTTTAAACTTTTGGAGCCAAAAATCAAACTCAACACAATAATCTCAAAATACTTTTTAAATCAACATGATTCAACTCAACACCATTAAATATAATTCAAGAGGAATTTTTAAATACCATTTCAACATTCCATCATCGAGTTTATGCCATCTATATTATTAATAAATCATTTGCCCCAATTTCCTTCTCATTATAGCATGATTTACATTGCTCATAACAAAGTTCATTCGCAAATTTTCAACACAATTTTCAAACATAACCAAATTCCAATTAAACTTGTACATATATAATTCAACCTACCAATTTCATGATTCTACATTCAATTTGGGCCAAATCATTGATTATCATCAAAAATCAACCTAGGGTTTCAAGAAAAATCTAGAAATTTCAAGAAACATCCAAATTTCTTAACCCATTACTTTTTGTTCCAATCTTTCCATTTATTATACGCCCTAGGTCCATAATACATAAACCATAATCTAAACCCCATAATAGAACCCCAACATTTCAAACCCTAACCCCAAAATTTCATGATTTACACTATATGCTCAAAATATAGATTTTGCATTTATATATTCCAAAATACCACAAATCTATCTATCAACGTAAGCATTGAAGGAGAACTAGGACCCCTACCTCAAGATTCAAGCAAGAAAAGCAAGAAAAGCAAGCTTTGAGAAGAATCCTCCACAAATTCAAATTTCAATCGGTTGAAAAATGTTGATCCTCTCTTGTTCTCCATCCTTGATGCAAGATCCATGGTGGATTTGTTGATAAAAGTGGAGGAAATCAAGGTTTTAGGAGCTAGGGTTTCGGACAAGGAGGAGGGGAGAAGAAGTGAGGAAAAGAAAATGTAAGAAATGATCCAAAAATCACGTTTTTGAGCAGCTGTCCCGCACAGCCCGCACGTGCGGTCCTGCTTCCAGCACAGATATGAAAACTTCAAGCATGCGTAACTCTCTCATCCGGACTCCGTTTTAGGTCATTCTGGTGTCCAAATTGAAGCCCCAAAAAAGGGCTTTCCAATGGTTCTAACTTGACATCCAAATTCAAAATGTGGAAAAAGAAAAGGGCAAAAGAGTGACCGCTGATCATAGGCAAATTATTCGAATTAAAGTTTTTGGTCCAATCGTACTTTACCATCATATTACCACCTCAATCAATACCCCAAAATAAAATAAGGAGGTTCCAAATACACTAATAAAAATGCCAAAGACGAATCCACGTGCCTCAGAAATTCAAACTCAACTAGGCAACCCGCTCGAGCGTCTAACCTTGCGCTCGAGCGCTCAGACCAACAAAACCATCCGCTCGAGCGGAAGGAAAAATTTCTAGATCGTTATAGAGCATGTTTGGTTTGAGGAGTTTGTGGCTGGATTATTTGTCCAATCTGACTGTCAATCCCACCACACAGTCGGATTAGCTAAGCTCTAGAGGGTGTGGGATTCAAATTTCAGGCCCGAGATTGTTGGTGCTATTATTGTTTTGCCCTTCCTCTTCAACACTATGCCAAACCACTTCCAGCAAGAAATGGAAAAAAAAATAAAATAAAATAGTTTTGGGGCATTTATGTAAGGGGCTAGACACACCGACGTGGGTTGTCTCCCCATTTTCATTTTTTTATTATATATATATATATATATATTGTAATTATTTTTACATTGGTTAGTTTGGGGGCATTTATGTAATTTTATATATTAATCCCATACCATAGTATTACATACAAACAAACACACTTTTACTTGATCTTCTCACTAACAATCCCCACATTAACAATCTTTTCACTAAGAATCCTCTCACTAACAATCTCATCCAACCTAATCCACCAAACAAACGTGGCTAAAGATCAAATCTTGGGATTTGTATCATAAGAGCAACAATGTAGGCATCACGAGGGGCTTCAGTGTTGCATATGATACAATTTCCAGAATCTCATGCCTTGATTAGAGCACCTGTCTCTCTAAGATTGATCAAGGTGCAGACACCCTCGGGGTAGGGGGGTGGAAAGGCACCAAAAATGAATCCCAAACTCTAGCTTCGAAGCCACATACCTCCAATGATACCCCGAGCAAAGATTCCAAGGCCTAACACTAAACCTAGGTCATCAAGGTATTGGATGATGGTGTTGGAGATGTCTTGATCAGTAGGACACAGCTCTACAGAGAAAGAGGAGACGAGACATAGTAGGGTCATGGTCTGGCAAAGGACCACTCAACCAAGCCAAATGGGATACAGAGCCATGTTGCTACGGATTACAGTTAGTCGAGCAGGGATGCCTCGAAACCACAACACAATTACGTGGTACTCTGGCCTCGCCTCGAGATGCCCTATGTTGGTTCATCTTGTGGTGACATGGCTAAAAGCTAAGGCACTGAGCATATTAGCTAGCCAAGATTACATACTTGGTGGTTTTTATGCCCCTACTTGGTCTAGACTTACAACCCCAATAGCTTATTTTGGAAGATGACACGCCAGTATGGGTTGCCACTTCACAATCCCTTGTCTCAGTTGGAGATGATATGGTGCCAGTAAGGCCAACCACAAGGTGAAGAGTATTCAGGTACAATAAATGTTAATTATTACTGTAATTTGAGTACATCCTGTGTTACTAAGAAGTGCCAATGGGAGGGTGCCTTATATATGAGCAGGAGGCTCTTAATGCTCTATAAATGTATAGCAATATTATATGAATGCTCTAAATAGTATAATACCAAGCACCAAGTTACCTGTATGCTGTGACAGCATTCTTAAGCTCAGGATCTTCCAATAGGTTTCTGGCACTCAAAGGAACATCTGCAAAAGGCATATCAATGGTAAGAATGCCGTAATAACCTAACGCAGTCAAGTCAATAAAGAGCAAGGTCAGCTCAAATTCAGTAAAGTGCAAAGTCAGATCAAAGTTCAACAAACAGGATGCCCAAATGTAACCCAGCTATCATACATAACTTAAGTCAGCTACTCATTTAAAGCTTCTATTGTGTCACCTTCTTGTACTCCCCTACTTAAACTTTTAAGCAAACTAAATGGTCATCTATAACTGCATAGCCTCACACATTCATTCAACTGCAAATATAATGCACTTCAATTTTCATTTTCCAGACATGACTAAACCAAATACTCACTATGGACCACATAAACAAGGGTAAATCATCCAAGCTCATTTAAAAGATACCGTTGCTAAACTGAACCAGGGAATGGAATGTACAAAAATAGTCATAAAACTAAGAAAGAGAACACCTACTATATTCCTTCAACACTCTTACTGCTAGTGAGCTGAATCCACATCGAGGAAGATCAGGCACCCCTTTCATGTAAAGCATCACCGGGTTGTCCTTGACATCCTACTCTAAAAGCTAAAAGCAATCAACAAAAACAGACTCTTAACAAATAAACAACTAAATTTCTTTGCTCGATAATTAAAAGAGAAAATACTTGAGGCTCAGTATCTCTAATACAGAAGGTACAGATGACTACTATCTTCCAGCTCTACAATAACCTTCAAAGAAAGGCCAGAACTCTTAAGCTTATTAGTGGGCTTGAAGTCCTCGTGTATGTCAGGATCATTCAGCATGGTAGTTGAGTATTGCATCCCATGGTGGTTAAAGGATCCAGCAGCCTACCAACAATTAAAGAAAAAATATTCGCAAGCATCATTTATATAGCCTTCAAAAATCATTTGCTCTAAAGATAAAACCACACACTTGTGGCTTAAATTTCAAGAAAACCCTTTTTTTGGTTTTCTGAGTGGACTTTAACAATGCAAGCATTTTTGTTTACAATTTTATAATTAAGGATACGAGAACATATCAAGATCCTAAGTAGTTCTTTGACTGCAAGTCCTTTGAAAAAAAAATTTAAAATTTTTTTTATTTATAAAATCCATTATAATCTTCTTAATGTGTTAGGGCCCACCCTAATCACCACCTCCCTCAGACCCTGTTGGGAACCCTTCCAACTGAGTTTCAATGGACCATTGGCGCTCTTCAATATCTCTCTCACACTAAACCAAATATCTCCTTTTCAGTAGATCAGGTCACCCAATTTGTACATAGCCCAACTGATCTTCAATGGACAATGGTCAATAACATATTTTATGTTATCTGAAATTATCCAATGAATTAGATTTATTTCTTAGCCATTTCAACTCTCTTTCTCCGTAATGTTTCCCAGATGGCTATTGAGCTGGGTGCCTAGATGACCGCTGCTCAACCCATCATTCTCAGTCCCAAGTTTACTCTCTCGTGCCTTCAAAAAGCAAAATATTGTCGCTCAATCAAGTATTGAATCTAAAGATTGGGGCCTCAGAAATGCTTATGCTATATTAGTGTAATGCTTATGCTATATTAGTGTGGACGGTGGATACAAAACCCACTAAGCTTTGTGGGTGTGTGTTACATATAAGAATCCATAACATTATATTACTTTATTTGTTAGGCATATTCTTTATCAAGCAATTTGTAATTCAAATATTGAGTTGTAGAGTACAGTCTATAATATCAGATCATATTGTTGTAGCTATGCCAGATTTCTAGGAAATTATCCTTCAGTTTCTTTCTTTTAATAACATATGTGGGAATATTGAAACTATATTTGGTTGGGGGAATTCGGAAGGGATTTGAAAAGGAAAAGGAAAAAGAAAAAGAAAAAAAAAACTGATGAAATGTGAATAGATATCCTTACATTTCACTCTCATACACCTTTTCTCTTTTCCTTTCTAAATTTCTTCCCAAATCTCCAACCAAACACACAGGCTGAATGCTTATATTAGAATCGGCTAATGGCAATATCTCTAGATCAAATCAATCATTTAAACCAAATTGACTACCGTAAAAAGCAATTAACAATTAACAGCAACAAAAAAAAAAAGAGAAAAAATACTTTAAACAAAGCCCTAACTAACCTTTGTACCGTAATTGGAAGTGAGGGAGTAAGAAAAGGATATAGTGGATGGCTGGAAAGGCGACCGCGGGGGAGAAGAGATGTTGGCGGCGGCGGCGGCAAAGCAGTGGAGCTGTGTAGAGAGTCTTCTCCACATGGCTTTTGCTTTGGTTTTGGGGTATGGAGTATTTGGTTTTGGGGTTTCATAGATCAGAAACCTCTTTCTCATTGTCTATTTATCTGGTTTCTGCTGAAGTGGGGATTGTGTCAACTCACCCCGCTTGTATGAACGAATATTTGTGGTGTATTGGTCACGCCTAGCCCACCCGCTCCCTCCAATATCGAGTATTGGAGTGTTTTTTGGGGGGTGAGTATTTTTTTTTTTTAAATATGGGAAACACTATATCCACTTTTCTGAATTATAATTAAAAAAATAAATTTATAATTAAACATAGGAAAATGTTTCGCAACTCTAGAAGAAGAGCTCTACGACGGCTCTAATGACGTGGCAAAAACTTTTTCCTACTAGCCTTTATCTCTCTTTCTCATTCGATTTGATTTCAAAATTATTTTGCTTGTTTCTCTCTCTCTCTTCACCCTCTCACTGTTTCCTTCTCTCTCTCTCTTCGACCTTTCACTCCCCGACGATCGCAGCTCTAATATTACAGTCTAAATATTCATCAACCTATGATATCAAAATATTCATCTAGTTGCAGTTGTAATTTATTGTAAAAATGAATATTGTAAAATTGCCACCTATGATCTCATTTTGTGCTAGAACCTTTGAAATATTCATCTAGGTTCTCAGTTAATGTTTAAATAAATTACAGTTTAAATATTCATCTAGGTTATATCATTTTTTTTTGAAAAAGATATTTTTTGTGCTACAGTTGCCATTTCTGTGTTTCTTCATCAACAATTCAAATCCTAACTAATCGATGTTACAGAGTTGGGAAGAGAGTTTACCTGAGAAGAGGGATTTCTGATGGAAAGAGATGCCGAAGAGCGAGAGAGGGAAGACGGAGAGGCAGAAGCAACGATGCCGATTGTCTGAGGAGAGAGAAGACGCCAGACGGTGGAGGAGAGGGCCGGCGAGGAGAGAACTGCAAATGCCGAAGAGCGAGAGAGGCAAGACGGAGAGGGAGAAGAAGCGAAGTGTCGTTCGCCAGAGGAGAGAGAAGACGCCGGACGGTGGAGGAGGGAGAAGACGCCGGACGGTGGAGGAGGGAGAAGACGCCGGACGGCGGAGGAGAGGGACGGCGGAGGAAAGATCTGCAAATGGGCTGCAAAGCCTCCGTTTTAGGGGAACGACTATAGTACGAGAAGCTGGTTTTGAGGTACCACACATGAAAATAAATATCAACCATTAGATGTACTCTTTTGATCTAGGGCATCCATTCAAAACTTTTTGTAACCGGTTACAACCGCTAAAAAATTAAACGCACTTACCACTCGCAAAGTAAGGTGACGAAATTAACTAAAAATTACAAAGCGTGGTAAATTACGGGCCTTGTTTGGTTTGTGTTTTTCAAAAAATTTTGAAAAAAATTCTCCACAAATAAGTTTTCAAAAGTAATCAAATCAAACCAATTTTTCCAAAAAAAATTTCCAAAACTTGTTTGGTTTGTGTTTTTTCCAAACAAATCTCTCTCTCATACACATCAAATCAATCACTTTTTCCAAAACTCTCTCTCAAAATAATTTTTCAAAACATCTTTTGAAAAAAAATCAAACCAAACAAATTTTCGTACGTTTTGTCTCAAAATATGTTTCTCAAATACAAACCAAACAAGGCCCGATGTTTCTACTTTTTATTTCGTAAAAATTACAATTACACCTTATTTTTAATATAAATATTTTTATTATGTATTGAAAATTACATCCCTTTCTTTAAGGTTTAAACTTTTATTACAGTTTAATCTTTCTGTTAATCAATCGTTGAGTCAACTACCGGAAAAAATTAATATAAGAAATTAATTTTTTTAAATGGCTATTTTATCCTTATTTGCATATATAAAATTGACAAATAATTTATTGTTTAGGAAAATTTTATATGCCCCAGTCGTGGTCTTTGGTTATGACTTATTATTGTGTTAATTATAACTATTGATTAAAACATTATTTTGATTATGATTCAAAAGACATTTGGTTATTCCTTATCCGGTGTTTGGTTATAACTATTTTTTTTAGTTATGATTAAAAGGGATCTAATTATAATATTTTATATATGTGTGTGTGTGTGTGTGTGTGTGTGTATATGTATGTGTGTGTGTGTGTGCGCGTCCGTGCGTGCGTTTATGAACATAAGTGGTTATGAATATGGCTATGTATATCAAAGTTTATTTCTATTTAGGTCCTCAGAGCTCATTAGACATTATTTTTTTATTGATTGGCTTCCGCTAGCCCCATATCATGTATTATTGTCATTATTGTTAAACAGGCCTTTGGTAATCATGGATTACTGGCCGGTTACGACATTAAACCCATAGGGGTAGGTTTGGGCCGTGACAAACCCTTTATTTTACTTTTAAAGATGTAAGCCTACGGGCAATTTATTTGGTTATGCCCATGTTGTAATTAATTTACTTTTCTCAAAAAAACACTTTTCACTCATAGATCCTTAGATCTACTTGCTTGAAGGCCTCTCCACATCTTGCTCCTTTGAGATACATTGTAGAGCTTGTCGAGGGCTCCATTTTGATCGGAGCAAAACGTGGTTTCTCCTCCGTCGACTTTTGGGGTTTTTCTTCCTTCTTCCTCTTCTAATATTGAGGTAGGGATTTCTTTGCTCCTTACCAATACTTCATCTATGGATAGACATGTGGTAGTTTTTATTACATAAAAACCATATTCATTATGGATTTTCTTGAAAGCCATGAAAGGGGATTTAAGGTTTGATATTTATGATTGGTGTTGTTAAGTTGTTTGTTGTTGAGTTATTTGGGAAATTATTTACTATGTTTGTGAAGAAAATGAGGAAAGCCCTAATTTGATAATGTTGGTATAATGGATTTAAAAGAGAGGGAGTTGAATAATCTTTATATTTTGCTAATATGGGTTGGATAATTGTGTTTATATCAAAAGAAAATAAAAAGAGAAGTAACCACGGTGTTAGTATTGTTTTAGACTAATCACGTGATGTTGAGTTGAGTTATGGTTTTGGTACCAATGGAATTGGTTTTGTAAAATAAAGGTGATGGATTTGGTTTTGGTTTTGTAAAATGACGAAAATGAATTCTTAGAAAATGGTTGGAGTTGTGTGGATTGGAAAGGAAACAAAAGTGGTCTTTTTGAAAGAAAATGAAATCATTACCCTTTGTAAAATTGATAATGAGCTTGAGGTCGGATTTTTGGAATCCTTTATATATTATCTTTTGTTATCGGACAGAAAGTCTTGCGAGAATTGGGTTTTGTTTTCCTTTCGTATGAAATGTAGAAATGGATAGACATGAATTTAAATAATGGGGTTAGATGTTTGAGATCTCTCACCTATGAAAATATGAATAGTTTGTCTATTTGGAGACTGTATATATGTTTAGAAATATATGTTTTGAGCTATCGGGAGAGGATAACTATGACTGTTGTAGAAATTACATGTGGACTAGGTGAATTGAAATTGATCACTTGTGCTTGTCGTTGAATATGACTATAACTACATACATTGGATATGTATGGCGATTTGGGAGTGGAAAGGGAATGTACTCCATATGCGATTATGTGTTCTTATACATTGTGCATGTATTACACTTAGGTTGTTATGCATTCTAGTATGTTAAAATATTTGGAAATGTGCTTACGATTCAAATGAGAGGTACCATTACCTTCCAGCTAGCACCTAGAGAATTGGTCGCGCTTCAAATGAGAGGTGTCAGTACCTTCCAGCTAGCGCCTGGAGAACTTGAAAGAGGTACCATTACCTTCTAACCGGTGTCTGGTAAATTGGGATTTTGTTATGGAAAGGTGTATCCTTGAGTTGGGATTTTGTTATAAAAAGGTGTATCCTTGACTTGGCATTTTGTTATGAAAATGTGTATCATTGGCTTACCATGCTTAAAGCTGGTATAGCAGAATTCATTTATCATTATTGTCTCAATGTATCTGGGTATATCATGCGTTATAGTGGTATTATTCTAGAAGGCCGTGTTGCCTTAATTATTGAAGCAGATAATTATTGATTGCCTGTTGTTTTCTTTTGTATTAAAGGCATACTTGTATAGTCATAAATGTGTTGGAAACGAATGTAAGATTTGTGTTGAGATGGTGGAAAAACGTGAAAGACTTTGAATACTTGTGAACATGTTTTGAAAAGGCAGATAGGTGTAAGTCTGGAAAGTGAAAGATAACGTAATAGGCTTGGTAAAAATGTTTTCCTTGGAAACTTATTATGGTCATATGAATTTTGAAAAAAATAACAAGAAGAAAGAAAAGTGAATTGCTTATGTCATTGAATGAAATGAATGACTTTGAAAAAAGTTCTTATATACATATATTTCTGTATAAATCGTCACATTATTTATACAGTATGAGACTAAACATTCATGATCATAGCTATCTGTAAGTTGCTATTGTTTAGGATCATGTTAAGATCCCTACTGGACTTTATGTTCATCCCACGTTGTTGATTCTTTTTCAGGTGAACATCGAAAAGTGTTTTAAGGTCATGGATCTTCTTTACCTGTTGGCCACGGGCTTTTTATTTGTGGGCGGAATGTCATTGATGTAAAATAGTTAAACCCTTTATTTTACTTTTAAAGATGTAAGCCTACGGGCAATTTATTTGGTTATGCCCATGTTGTAATTAATTTACATTCGGATGAGAGAATTTTTTTTATTCTTACTCGTTGATGTAAAGATTTTTTCGCATGTTATCTCTGAAACTGAATTAAATTAATGAATCTGGTAATGGTTCCGAGTAAAATAAAAGTGGGGCATGACAGAGGGGAATGTAATTTCTAAAACGTGAAAGGGATACTTGTATTAAAGACAAACGTCAATGGGTGTCAGTGTAATTTACCCTTTTATTTAAACATTGATAAGTAATTTATAGGATAAATTACAAATATACCCCTAAGGTTTGCTTAAAGTACAGATTGCTCCCTGTGATTTGAAAAATTACAAATACCCCATCTATAAGAGTATAAGAAAATTAATTAGATGAGACTAAATGCTAAGTAATATTAGAATTATTGTAAGTTTTGTTATAGTAAATAATCATATTGAATGACAACTACGTACTACAAATGTTCCCATTGTTGTTCTTCTTATAGTAATTATAGAATATACAATATACATATATATATATATATATAAAATAGAAGTGATAATAAGTATTGTATGTATAAATGAGAAGAAGTATTTCATAAAACTCTACTTACTATTCAATCATATTCCACTTATTATTGAATGGTAATTAAGATCAAAACGACTTACTAGGAAAATGAGTGATAAGTAGGTTGAAAATAAATTATAAGTAGAACTAGAATGAATGGTTATACAAAAAAGTAAAAATGATAAAAATATTAAGTGATAAGTAGTGTTACAATGAATGGTAAGTAAAATTAGAAAGTATTTTGTTTAGTAAATATGCACCCTATCACAAAATGTGTAATTTTACCACAAATTTAATAACATCAATTACAAAACGTATAACCTCGCTACAAATTGGATTACTACAAACTTTACTTATTGCTCAATCATGCTCCACTTACTATTTAATCAAATCCCACTTACTACTCAATGAGCTCCCACTTACTATTTCATTACACTTCACTAACTACTCAATTTTGGTTTCACTCACTACTCAATGTGCTTCTACTTGCTACTTCACTATACTTCACTTATTACTCAATGAGCTTCTACTTACTACTTCACTAGACTCCATTTACTACTTAATGAGTTTCTACTTACTATTTCATTACACTTTACTTAATACTCAATTTTGATCGTGTCAATGCCATCATAACAATTATGTGTTCATGGAAAACCATTATATTGTTGTGTGAGTGATTTTCCGATCACACTGCCCAACTCAGTATTCAGCTGAAGAACATTGGCAGAATAGATGACACCTGGCTAACCTGTAACAGAAAGAGAAGATTCCGGCGGTGGTTCGTCCACCCGGGGGCACTCCGACGATCAAGTCAGTATATCTCTCAAAGATAATCAATAGTGCTAATCTCACAAGACAGAATATAAATTGCGTACCTTAGACCCATGGGGGTGCCTCTCTTTTATAGTTACCTCAATCCTAATCCCAATAGAAGCCTGACTTCTATGGATTCCTGTTCAGTGCTTACTTTGGACTCCTCAAGAGATAAAGATAAACTCTCTAAGAGCTTTATCCTTATCTTGGCTAAGTCTCTTCTTTATTCTAGAACTCT